TTCTCCTCAGCTGCCTTTCTTCCTCCCCCTCCTCAGCTGCTTCTCTTCCTCCCCCTCTTCTGCTTCTCTTCCTCCTCTCTGCTTCTCTCCTTCCTCCTCTTCTCTGCTCTTCTTCATCTTCCTCTCCCCCTCCTCTTCATCTTCCTCTCTTCCTCCTCATCTTCCTCTCTTCCTCATCTTCCTCCTCCTCCTCCTCTGTTGCTTTTTCTCATTTCGTTCTCCTCATCCTCTGCTGTTTCTCTTCTTCCTCTTCCCCTCCTCTTCTTCTTCTTCCTCCTCCTCCTCTTCTTCCTCTCTTCCTCCTCGTGTTCCGTAAGGACACACTACTGAGTCAGCCCAACACCCCACTGGTCAATTGGGCCTTGTATACCACAAGGCCTCGGTACTACTTGGTCCCAGTCTTAATAGGCCTCGGTATTACTTGGTCCTGGTAATATGCCCCAGTACTACTTGGTCCCAGTCTTAATAGGCCCCAGTACTACTTGGTCCCAGTCTTAATAGGCCCCAGTACTACTTGGCCCTAGCACTAATAGGCCCCAGTTCAGTTAGGTCCCAACCTTACCTAATCACAGTATTAGGAAGTTCAGACCTGATAGACCCCAATCCTAATGGTTAGGTTGGGGTCTAGTAGGACTGGTGGAGCATAATAGAACTAGAACCTAAACGTAACATATATACTGCCAAGTGTCTAGGGAATTTCGGCAGGAACTGTACATCATGTTAACTTGTACAATTAAAACGCACGGAATTACCACTTCATTTATTATCAGCCACTATGAAAGGTTAATATTTTGTTTATCTCGGTAGCCACACTAGTCCCTCAAAGCTCACGGGGTTAACTGTTACACACAATAATTCTGCTGGCTAATAAATATAATTACCGTTGTTAAGATGTCGAATAATTTATCATGTACAAGTTAATCTCCCGGCGGACAGTATATATGATCGACATTGTCTCTTAAAACGTTTACTGAGTATAATGATAAGGCTAGTCAATAAAATATCAATTACTAGTGTTAACATTATTACTATTATTGCTATTACTTTATTATTATTATTAAGAAAATCAACAAGTCAGGTTCAGGTGTGTGAGGGTGAGAGCTAGGCATTGCATGGCGCCGCTGGCCTCTCTCGACACAGAGTAAGAGTTTGATGATGACTTGGGCGTCAACTCTCTGCCACGACGCGACGACCTTATCCACATCCCCCACGACCTCCTCCCTCGCTGCTGGCCTCTGAAGGATGTCTCAACTATCCTACACCTCCTACACACGACCGTCACTTATACCTGTTCAGCTAAATATCGAATTCAAATCAAAATACTGTTATCCATCGTTTAATTTGATCTCAGACCTTCGCTTTCATCCTGACTTTGAAACCTACGCAGTGGATGATAATGTATATTCATGTGAAATTTGATGACTTTTTGTGTCAATATAGTACTTGGCAGCCCGGAGTGGCACACACCGTCCACTTTACAACAGTCGGATAGATATTATAGGGAAGCGTAATCACATGTAGTCATTTTATGTGGTGACAGTGCCATGACGGTGACAGTACCATAAAGGTGACAGTACCATGAAGGTGGCAGTGCCATGACGGTGGCACCTGACTCTAGAAATACTAAATTCAAAGACAACGGTACAGGAAGTTTCACCTTGACATGGCAGAGTTAACCTAAAAGTTAATCCCTATCTTATACTAGGTCAAGAGGTAACTGATGCAGTTTCGTACACAGACAAAATATCCTTTCATACACACATTCAAGGTAATTTACATGATCACAATAAACTAGCTTTATCACATGGCACCTTACCAAACTATGCTAACCAAGCCTAACCCAAGTTAACTTATTTATTAACCTCAGCTGAGTTAACCTGAGCTACCCTATAATACATTAATTATAATAAGTTATATCACCAGACAATTTAATCTTTGTTTTGTGTACCAAACGACCTCCGCCGGTACACCAAACGACAGTGACTCCCGCGAAGGAAACTCCCCGAGCAGGTTAACGAGCGGAAGGTAAGATGAGGTGCAGCCACAACACTACACCACCAAGCTCATGCCTCAGCCAGCAAACTACTTCTAGGCAGGCAACACCAGCCAGCCCTCACAACACGAACAAAAATCTCACAACCATGAGCAGAAATTGTACTTAAAAAAAAATTACAACAGTGCAAAACATCACAACCCACCAGACCAACTTTAATAACTGTAATGTACACTTCTACTTGCATGTGTGTGTGTGTGTGTGTGTGTGTGTGTGTCAATTAATATATTTTATGACCAAATATTACCCTGTGCAAGAATCGTACCTCACTAATGAATATTCCAGTGAGTTATATAATTGTTTATCATTAAGTTCCCTCAATGGTAAATCTTTAACACGAGTGGATATTTTCCCTCGCCATCAAACGTCTACACTTCCTCTTGTGATTACTGAAGGTGTCAATATGATATATATTTTCCCACTAGGCTTAAGGACCCACACACCTCCCTCACTAGTATACACCCACACACCTCCCTCACTAGTATACACCCACACACCTCCCTCACTAGTATACACCCACACACCTCCCTCACTAGTATACACCCACACACCTCTCACACTAGTACACACCCACACACTTCCCTCACTAGTATACACCCACACACCTCCCTCACCAGTATACACCCACACACCTCCCTCACTAGTATACACCCACACACCTCCCCCAGTAGTATAAACCCACACACCTCCTCACTAGTATACACACCACACACCTCCCTCACTAGTATACACCCCACACCTCCCCCTCACTAGTAAGCACACCCACACACCCTCCCCACTAGTATACACCCACACACCTCCTCACTAGTATACACCCACACACCTCCTCACTAGTATACACCCACACCTCCCTCACAAGTACACACCCACACACCTCCCCACTAGTATACACCCACACACCCTCATAGTATACACCCACACACCTCCCTCACTCAGGTATACACCCACACACCTCCTCACTAGTATACACCCACACACCTCCCTCACTAGTATACACTCCACACACCTCCCTCACTAGTATACACCCACGCACCTCCCTCTACAGTATACACCCACACACCTCCCTCACTATATACACCCACACACCTCCCCACTAGTATACACCCACACACCTCCCTCACACTAGTATACACCCACACCTCCCTCACTAGTATACACCCACACACCTCCCTCAGTAGTATACACCCACACACCTCTCTCACTAGTATACTCCCACACACTTCCCTCACTAGTATACACCCATACACCTCCCTCACTAGTATACACCCACACACCTCCCTCACTAGTATACACCCACACACCTCCCTCACTAGTATACACCCACACACCTCCCTCAGTAGTGCAAGCCAGGATCCCAGAGTCAGGAGTCATTCAGCCTCTTTAAGCTGCCCGCTTCAATCTTTCACGCTAAATTCCGGCTCTCAATAGCATCCTCCCAGATGAACCGTGGCGAATTTTTTGGAGAAATTCGCGAAAAATCAATTCTGCGGCGACCTCTGTTTACCTACTCCACAACCTAACAATTAATTAAGGAACCATAAGGTTTTATATACCTGTATCTGTACCTGGTGTCTCCCCCTGGTCTCAACTGAGATTTTTTTTTCTTCAATGTATTAAGTGATAATCCAACTTTCTCTCTCTCGATATTTTGCAACTACAAGAAAAGCTACAGTACGGAAAACATGCATTGGGGTTTGGCTTTTCTTCAAGGTCAAGCGATTCATAGTCTGCCCCTGCACACCTCCTCTATCCACATGTTATATCACCACAGCCAGCCACACGCCGTCCCTACCCACGCTTACCTCAGGGCACCCCACTTCTCGTTTCTCTTCTCTGAGGATTACTTGTCAATTAATCGGTGTTCCCCACCACACCACATACATGAGGGATCTCGCCCACACTCCTCCTCCCACTTATCAAAACGTTTCCTCAGCCAACATACCCGCACTAAGCACTTTCCCTATAGAGTTTATCCCAATCAAATTTTTCCTCATCAAAATATCAATATCAAACATTTTCCCACATTAAGTTGATCCAGACCAAACGTTTCCTTCGTCAAACGTTTTGTCATCATATTTATCCTTGCCAAACGTTCCCTCACATTCCTCGTTGCTTGCCCCCCTCACTCTCACTCAAAAAACCTTACTACGCTTTCAACTCTTATTTGGGAGAAGAGTGGTTAGGCGGCGGAGGGGTGGTCGGCGGAGGGGTGGGCGGCGGAGGGTGGTTTATGGAGGGGTGGTTGGCGGAGGGGTGGGCGGGTGAGGGTGGCAGAGGGGTAAAGAATGCCTATGGAGGGGTGGGCTAGTGAAGGAGTGGGGAAGGGAGTGGGGAGGAGGATTGAGTTGGGGAGACGTGGGTTAGTATAGGAGTGGTGGGCATGAGTTAGAGGGGAGGAGATCGAGGTGAGGGATAAGAAGGGAGTGAAATGGTGAGGGAAGAGACTGGGTGGGCTAGGGAGGTTAGAAAAGGAAAGAGTGGGTTGAAAGGTGAGTGGGAGGGTGTGGGTCAGGCAGATGTCAAGGGGTGAGAGGGGAAAAAGAGGGAGGCTGTGAACTGAGATGAGAGAGGGAAATATATAGGGTTAAGTAAGGGAAAGACCAATAGAAGGGGATGGACGGAAAACTGGGGGAAGGGATGGTGGAGCGAGGGAAGGAATGATGAAGCGAGGGGAGGAACACAGGAGTGAGACAGAAGTGGAAGAGAGCAAAGGGGGAATCTGAGAGGACACGATTGACCGAACAAACTAATTCACCCATAAGGTAACAATCCGATAATTACCCGGATACTGTGGTGTAGGGGGGGGGGGCAGAGATACAGGGTGTAATTGGCACCTAGGAGCCCAGGGTGGAATAGGGTGGAATAGTCGAGGGTGGAATAGGGAGCAGGAAAGACTATTAAGAAACAGAACCGGTGATGGCAGGAGACAATGACAGATTCGACTCACCTGTTAGATCAAGGTCCTGGCGTGGGTGTTGCCTGGGCGGCTGGCGAAGCAGGGAGAGGGGCACGAGGCCTTCCTGGTCATGGGCGTGGGAAAGCCTCACATAGGCCCAGTCAGCGGGGTCTCGGGAGTGGGTGTGGGCGTGGGGCAGCTCGAGGACTTCCACCTGCTGGCCGCGGGTGACGGTGAGCTCGCCCGCCCCCGCCCCTGACCAATCCTCCAGCACCCATGTCACCTCCCCGCCTCCCTGCAAACACAACAAACAAAATTTAAGTATACAACAAATAAAACAAACACATCTGTAATACATATAGACATTAGTTAGTGTGTGTGTGTGTGTGTGTGTGTGTGTGTGTGTGTGTGTGTGTGTGTGTGTGTGGCAACAGATGAGAGACAGGTGATTTATTTACATATCCTCTACGTACAGGGACGGTTGGAATTACCAGGACTGTAAACATTATATCTTAAAAACTACAAGTGGTATATATTTCAGGTTAAGAATTTATCGCAGTGGATTTCTACATAAAGTTTGACGCTGATACACCAAACTGTTTGTGAATTTACGTCTATGCGAGAATATCACTTAACGCACGCACGCACCATATACAGGGAAGAGATAATCACCCATCGTTTATCTTGGGTGTGTTGTTAGCACTGCCAAACAACCTCCATTACTTTTATTTCAAGCCCTGAGCCATGTGCACATTACACCACAGGCAAAACACACACACGGTCAACACGCAACTTGGACATATTAGCAAGTGTGGACAAAAACGTGAGGGGCTGTCGATGGCCCAACCACTCACGGCCCGGTTACAGTTTGGTCTCTTTGCAGGTTTGGACGGCCGTTTCATTCCCTATGTGTAGTAGCCTAAGTAACTCTGTCATAGCCTAAGTGACTCTGTCGTAGCCTAAGTGACTCTGTCGTAGCCTAAGTGATTCTGTCGTAGCCTAGGTGACTCTGTCGTAGCCTAGGTGACTCTGTCGTAGCCTAAGTGACTCTGTCGTAGCCTAAGTGAATCTGTCGTAGCCTAAGTGACTCTGTCGTAGCCTAAGTGGCTCTGTCGTAGCCTAAGTGACTCTGTCGTAGCCTAAGTGAGGGGAGGAGGATTTTTTGGCAGTCAGGTCCTAGGGTTAGCCTGGTACAGCTGGTGTCAACTCACCTGCTGCTGTTGTCATTACTCAGGTGGTACACACACACACCTGCCTCACCCACCACCACCACTCCTACACCTGCTGCTGTTGTCATTACTCAGGTGGTACACACACACACCTGCCTCACCCACCACCACCACTCCTACACCTGCTGCTGTTGTCATTACTCAGGTGGTACACACACACCTGCCTCACCCACCACCACCACCCTACACTTTCTGCTGTTGTCATTACTCAGATGGTACACACACACACACACCTGCCCCCACCCACCACCACCACTCCTACACCTGCCAGTTGCTGTCATTACTCAGGTGGTACACACACACACCTGCCTCACCCACCACCACCACTCCTACACTTTCTGCTGCTGTCACACTCAGATGGTACACACACGCCTGCCTCACCCACCACCACCACTCCTACACACCTGCTGCTGTTGTCATTACTCAGGTGGTACACACACACACACACCTGCCTCACCCACCACCACCACTCCTACACCTGCTGCTGCTAAGTCATTACTCAGATGGTACACACACACACACACCTGCCTCACCCACCACCACCACTCCTACACCTGCTGCTGTTGTCATTACTCAGATGGTACACACACACACACACCTGCCTCACCCACCACCACCACTCCTACACCTGCTGCTGTTGTCATTACTCAGATGGTACACACACACACACACACCTGCCTCACTCACCACCACCACTACACAGGTTGCTCTCTTTCTCTCAACACCATTACTCTTACTCTGGTTCAGCCACTCTCACTATGGATCGTGCTACATACAAACACAGGCCATCACCGCTGTATTCATCAACTCGATCCATGGTTACAAAATATACATAAAGATACGTACTGTAAGAGCTGTAATACATACCATAACAGTTAATACCCCTATATACCTTTGCATTAACATATATCCTAATGAATCACAAAACACACACACACAAAACACACACACACACTGTATTTGGTTATAATGGTAATTTTTTTTTTTGCATGTTAGCCCAAACTACACGATATATTTTCGTATTACTGTTAACTTCCTGAGTACTTAACCCTTAGAGTACACGATGACGTAACCAAGAGTACATTTTCGACGATGATCAAGAGAGAAAGTCATCGTATTCAGGGTTTTATCTTACACAAGGGGGACCAATCAGTGTACACGGGGAGTAAAGTATTGTTATTAACTTGCTCTCTCTCTCTCTCTCTCTCTCTCTCTCTCTCTCTCTCTCTCTCTCTCTCTCACACAAATTACCCGCCGCTACCCATCAAAAGCTATTTCGGGATGTGATTGATGGTACATGTACGGAATATTTTTGCAGTATAAATAATAAAAACAAGTGACGACTGATACGTTTGTGATAAAAAATGTTATTGGAAAGTAACGAAGGTGTACCTCTTGTGACGTCATTATATCCCTGTTACAATCAAGTCAGTGATGGGGTTACAAAAGAACGATTGCAATTATAACCCTTGGAGTAGGATGACTTAATGCCCAAAGTAAGTTATCGTAACCCCTTCACTACGATGTTTTGACTCCTGAGTATAATATATTAATCCTTTGAGTTTAATATGTTAACCACACACACACACACACACACACACACACACACACACACACACACACACACACACACACACACACACACACACACACACACACACACACACACACACACACACACACACACACACACACACACACACACACACACACACACACACAATAACACACACACACACACACACACACACACACACACACACACACACACACACACACACACACACACACACACACACACACACACACACACACACACACACACACACACACACACACACACACACACACACACACACACACACACACACACACACACACACACACACACACACACACACACACACACACACACACACACACACACACACACACACACACACACACACACACACACACACAGACACACACACACACACACACACACACACACACACCATTGTTGACATAAATCGATGGTTCTGTCAATAAACAATCATTACACCAATAAAGATGTAGTTTCTCGGCACCCGATATATAGCCGACAGCCTTCAATACTTTACTACTAACTGAAAATATGTTTCTTTTATAAATCAACACCCAAAATAACTGCCTCCTCCCCCCCCCGTAATCAAATTTATTAGCTAGATTAATATAATTTTAATTTAATATATTCAACGTACATATCTAATCTATCTTAACTATAAGGATCTCTCTCTCTCTCTCTCTCTCTCTCTCTCTATCTCTCTCTCATTCTCTCTCACCGCCTCTTAACCTAACCTAACCTAACCTATTCCTCCACTATATCTTTACGTAAGGTGTTGAGGGTCACTATGGAGGTGTGAGGTTGAACGGGAGGAGGAGGTCATGCATCACACACAAGCTGTCATGGCGTCATGGCTACCCTTCCTGGCACTGTGCCACATGACGGAACCATAATGCCTCTCATGATCGGGCCTGAGAGAGAGAGAGAGAGAGAGAGAGAGAGAGAGAGAGAGAGAGAGAGAGAGAGAGAGAGAGAGAGAGAGAGGTGGGGCAAGAAGTGACAGGCAGCTTTGCTTCATAATCCATCGCGTCACTCACCAATACCGTAGAGCGTCATGGGGGAGTCATCACATCGTTGACGTCATGTAAGGTCATTACCTATACACTGCTATGGGAGTCAACTACGAAATGGGGGTCAAGAAAGTGGTTACCGTCACACACACAGATGAAGTTGTGATTGGTGAACTCATGAAGGGACTAGGTAAGGTCAATAAGCATGGGTTCCCACGTGGTCACTATTAGGTCAAGTTATTAGGAGGAGGGCGAGGGTGGGAGACGGAGGGGGGTGGGGGGGAAGGAAACACGGGCCTCTGACGATGCTGACACTGCGGTGACAGGGTCGGCCAGGCTGAGTAGGGCGCAAGGTGGGCAAGGAGGGCGGACGGGGTGAAGAGGGGCGGGACGGGGTGAAGAGGGGCGGACGGGGTGAAGAGGGGCGGACGGGGTGAAGAGGGGCGGGACGGGGTGAGGAGGGCGGACGGGGTGAGGAGGGGCGGACGGGGTGAGGAGGGGCGGACGGGGTGGAGGAGGGCGGGCGGGGTGAGGAGGGCGGGGTGAGGAGGGGTGGGCGGGGTGAGGAGGGCGGGTGAGGAGGGGCGGGCGGGGTGGAGGAGGGCGGGGTGAGGAGGGCGGGCGGGGTGAGGAGGGCGGGTTACGCTTATCCGTCTATCCTGACATATTCTACTTGGATAATAACTGAATTTCTTTGGTTATATGTCTAGTAAATTCCTTGTGTGAATTCAAAACAGCCCACCCCCCTCACACACACACACACACCATAAACGACAAACGGCACCAGCAAAAAAACTCTCAATACCTTATGTTAAAAATCACATTGACGATGGCCTCAATACAAAGATCAAGCGCCCAGGTGTTTGACGATGAATATTCCATATCACCTAACCTAACCTAACCTAACCTTCACAGACATCCAACACACTTAACCAGCCACTTTCCTAGATTAGATGCCTTTGGGAACACACCAGTCCATGCACGTCGCTGGAAATGTCAAATCGTTCGTGGTGAGTCTGTACAGTACACAGTCATAGTCAATACTACAACACCTTGACACTGTAGCACCAGTCTTCCTAGTTGTTCAGACGGTGGTTCTCCTCACTCACATAAAGTACGTCCATGTGTGTCGTGTTTTTGTTTTTTATAAGAGGAGAGAGAGAGAGAGAGAGAGAGAGAGAGAGGGGAGGGGGGGAGATACAGGAAAGAGTCCGGGGGTGACATGATGGCGGCCAAGGAGCCAATATCCTACTTATTTGTGTGTTATTTATACCTCAGTGAATTTTGAGTATTAGGAAAAAGCCGTGTACTAGATTTCTTTACACACACACACACACACACACACACACACACACACACACGAAAAGGGATGTAAAATAAAGATGAGACGCAGATCAAAGAACGCGTCCACAGGCAGAAAAGCAACAGAGAAGAGAAGAGAGGAAGACAAGGAAGGAGAGAGGATGTAGGA